AGCTGGCAATGAAGCCCAAGACCTGTCCTTACTATAAATAGAAAGAAATTCATTTGGCCAACTAATATATATAGAAAAAATGAGCCGGCATGGTGGCACATGCCTGTAGTCCCAGCTACTCGGGAGGCTGAGGCAAGAGGATCACCCTGAGCCCAGGAGTTTGAGGTTGCTGTGAGCTAGGCTGACGCCACGCACTCACTCTAGCCTGGGCAACAAAGCGAGACTCTGTCTAAATAAATAAATAAATAAATATATATATATATATAATATATATATAATATATATACAATAAAAATAAAACAACAAAGAAAACAAAAGCAGGATATTCAATTTCCTCATACAGCCAGGACAAAACTGCCTGATAAAAACTGGCAAGAAAACTGGGATTCTTAACTAGTTGTTGTAAGAGTCCCTCGTGGCAGGAGTTAGAGCTCTGCCATGAAGATGCATTTCCTTTTGGATACGTGCCTTAATTCTCATATCCTGTCACTTTGCAGCTTTGAAGGCCCGATGGAAAGATTTGGGGTGCTCCTATTTCTTATGAATGTGAAGACGGCTAGCTCCCTCCTAGCACGAACCATGAAGAAAAAGAGCAAAAATAAAAGGCTGGGCAAGAGTGCCACCTAGTGGCAAAAGCATGCTTGCAGTCGTGTCTTCCAATGAAGCTACCCGTGTTTCCTGAAAATAAGGCCTACCCATGAAATGAGCCCTAGCAGGATTTCTAAGCATTTATGCATATAAGCCATACACCGAAAATAAACCTAGTGATGGGCGTGGCTATGAAGCGCATCTGCACAACCCATGCATTTCGTCGCGGAGCGGTAAGGAATAGGAGCAGCCCTTCTCATCTGCCCCATCGTGACAGCCTACTATCCAGAGGTGACCGCAAAGTGCGGGCAGCCCCACCAACAAGTCGGCTCCCCTGTCAGGTCCCGGCATCCCTGTGCGTGCTGCAAGCTGAGGCTTTGAGGGGAAATAACACATCCCCTGAAATAAGCCCTAGAGTGTCTCTTGAGAAAAATAAACATAAGAACCTGTCTCATTTTCGGGAAACATGTAGTACAGAGAGCCTGTGGAATGTGTCCCTCACTTCATAGGGATTATTTTTGAGGTGCTTTGGAATCGGGGATTTAAAAGAGTTGGGCCCTGTCCTCAAAGAACCACGATCCGATGATAGGCATTGACATGTAAAAACAAAATTAGAATCAAAGTGTGATAGCTGCCTAGGATGGAGGCAACGTGGAGTATCTTGGAAACAGGGACCACCTTTGTGGTGGAGTCGGGAAAGTGTACAGAGGCGCTGAGCCTACGAGTAAGTGGGAATTATGTCCACACTCAAGCTTAGCTAGGCCTAGGCCAGTTTACACCAGGAGAGAAACCACAGGGTTGAACTTAGCACAAACCATCCACTGACTCTTCTTTTCTTGTGATGGTGCTCGTCTCACTCTTGCTCAGGCTGGTTTCGAACTCCTGACCTCGAGCAATCCACCCACCTCAGCCTCCCAGAGTGCTAGGATTACAGGCGTGAGCCACTGCACCTGGCCTATAATGTAATGTTAACTCTGAGAAATTCACACATATCTGAGTTTCCTAAGCAGGATATAAACTATACATTTATGCTATATTTTTGGTATTTTTATTCATTCACCTACTTGTAAGTAATGTGACAAGAATGATGTATCCAGATGAGTTTGTTGAACCTCTGGTGACCACTGGAACACAGGTGTAGCCCCACATGAAAACTCTGATCTGCTTCTTGTACAGGGACACGACGAAAATATCTGTATTTGTAGTCAAGTGGTTTCTGTAAAAGAAAAGGTACATGAGCTATAATGAAACCTTATCTCACCTTATAAATGTTTATAAAAAACATGTAAGGCCCAGGCATGGTGGCTCACGCCTATAATCCTAGCACTTTGGGAGGCCGAGGCAGATGGATCACTCAAGGTCAGGGGTTCGAAAACAGCCTGAGCAAGAGTGAGACCCTGTCTCTACTAAAAAAAAAAAAAAATAGAAAGAAATTAATTGGCCAACTAATATATATCGAAAAAATTAGCCGGGCATGGTGGCACATGCCTGCAGTCCCAGCTACTCGGGAGGCTGAGGCAGGAGGATCACCTGAGCCCAGGAGTTTGAGATTGTTGTGAGCTAGGCTGACGCCACAACACTCTAGCCCAGGCAACAGAGTGAGACTCTGTTCAAACAAACCAAAGCAAAACGTGAAGCTTGAACCTGACTGGATCGTGTAAACGAGGCGTGGAGCTGAGCAGTGCATAAGGCAGTCACGGCTTATGAAGGCAGGAATGATGGTCTCAGAGAGATCCACGTCCGATCTTAGACCTGTGAAAAACCGTCATGTGCAAAGGAATTTGCAGACGTGATAAAGTTAAGGCTTGAGGTGGAGATGCAGCCTGGGTTGTCCAGGTCCGGCTGTCCCATCACATGGTCCTAGTTCTGGCGTGAGAAGAAAGGCAGCAGCCTAAGTTCAGCCCTCGGAGTCCTGGAAGTCTTGGACGATCTCCGCACACGATGGTCCAAGCCTCACAGCATATTGGAGCAGTGATTGCGTGACCGACAGGAGTGGTTTTTAATCCTGAATAGCACTAGTGCAAAGGGTAGTCCTTCCTGCAAAATACTTCCTCATGTCCTTGGTGAGGGCATCTACCATTTTTCCCGAAGAGCCTGCACCATTCTGACAACAATCCCCTGGACCGCATCTTCCGGGACTGAGCAGAGAATTCGGGACTATTGCAATGATTGGGAAATAGGGCTAATTTGCAACAGCCTCCAATCCGCCTTCTCCCCTCTGCATTCCCCGTCCCTGCCTACTAGAGAAGCTGTCGTTAGCAGAGCAGGGGGAGTCGGCGTTAGGTTTAAAGGCACTGTTCGCAAAACCTCGCTGTGTGCGGTCTGCCCACGTGGTCTGACATCATTGCTTCCTCTCTGGATTGCAGGGAATTTTACACAATGAATCCAGTGTCAATCGTCTCCCCGCTGGACAGATTTGAAACCACAGGTTTGAAAGATAATGTTTCTCAAGCTGTGAAAGAACTGTGGTTCTAGTCACTGGTGAAATACCCATCCACCTGCTGGGATGGTCCAAGAAGATGAATCTCCACCAAATTATCCCTAGTCCAACTGTGAGTGTTATCCATCCACAGTCATGATGCATTAGAAATGCACCACGCTCACAAATACTCACTTCCATTACCCCTTCTCAACACCGTGGTGACCACCATTCCCCCGCTGCCCCATCCCAAGCTCAGCCCGTGCTGCCCCTGGTGAAAACCCGGCAAAGAGACACTAAGCACATCTTGTTATCACACCAGTGTCCACAGCACTGGGGGAACGAGATGACCAGGGTACCCACTAGTCAATGATAGCTATGAGGCTGGAAAATGTGAACAGTGGTTACCACTGGTGGGAGTTTACGGGTAATTCCTAATTTCTTCTTCTTCTTTTTGAGACAAGGTCTTGCTCTATCACCCAGGCAGGAGTGTAGTAGCTGGGATTACAGGTGCATGCACACCAGGCCCACGTAATTTTTTAAAAATTTTTGCAGAGACGGGGTCTTGCTTATATTGCCAGGCTGGTCTCGAACTCCTGGCCTCCTCCCACCTTCAGCCTCCCAAGTGCTGAGATTAACAGAATGTGAGCTATCATGCCAGCCCCTAATATCTTTTAATGCCTCTCTGCACTTTCCAAAGTGTCTTCTCTCTGGCAACTGGAGATTATGGTCCAATAACTTGGGATTGTTAGGTCTAGGCCTAGGAGAAATTAGCTAGTCATTAAAAAACAAACAAACAAAAAAAAAACCAGGCTGAATCAAGTACAGATAGGAGAAGAGTAGAAACTGACAAATAGGCGGGGGCGTGGCTCATGCCTGTAATCCTAGCACTCTGGGAGGCCGAGGCGGGCGGATTGCTCGAGTTCAAGAGTTCGAAACCAGCCTGAGCAAGAGTGAGGCCCTGTCTCTACTATAAAGAAAGAAATGATTTGGACAACTAATATATATAGAAAAAAAATTAGCCGGGCATCGGTGGCGCATGCCTGTAGTGCCAGCTTACTCGGAGACTGAGGCAGGAGGATACTTGAGCCAGGAGTCTGAGGTTGCTGTGAGCTAGCTGACACCACGGCACTCACCTAGCCTGGGCGAACAAGCGAGACTCTGGTCTCAAAAAAAAAAAATAGAAATTACAAAGAGGAATGAGCACTATTTCAGGCTGGTGGCAATTCCACCAAAGCCTCAGTTGGCAATGCGGAGCTGGTGAGCACTCTGAGGGCCTCCAGAGTCACTGCAGGGCAGAGAGTATGTTGAGACCTTCCGATGAAGTGGTTTCCCAGTAAAACATAAAGAAATTACTGGAGTCTTGATGAACAGTCACTCTAGTCTTCATACACTGGGGGAAACACCACAGGCACTTTCTCTCTTCTGTTAAGAGGAAGAAAAATAGCCAGAACAGGAACAATGACTTCATCTCGAGTTTCCATATGATGCAGAGCTGAATGCTTTGCAATTTCTTCATGCAGAGTAACCATTCATCGCCGATTTGCCCAGGAGAGTGCTGGTTTATGTTTTTTGTCTCAGTGTAGATTGCAAAAAAACACCACCTCTTTCTCCACTAAAAAGTGTCCTCCCTTTTTGACAATAAATGATGATAGCTTACCTTGCTTATATAGCAGGTTTCACTTACTGCTTCTTTGTCCAAATACAACAAATTGGGTGGATGTATTTCCAGGATTTGAGGAAAAGTTAGTCTGCACAGAAAGGCTTTTTTATGGGTCAGAAAGCAGCCTGTGCTGCTGCTGAAATCCTTCCACACTCTTCCTCACCTCTGCTATATGCATGCACAGCATGTGTAGGTGTCAGCCAGCATTTTTCTAGAATGATCTTGCGTGCTTTTCCAAATCTCGGCTCCCATTACTAAATGTGTACTGGGTGGCACAGGAAGAAGGTGCACGTAGAAGACCCATCAGTGGGTTTAATAGCGATTCGCCAAAACCTCTGCGCTGTGCAGAAGACTACAGGGAGAGGGCTTTGGGCTCCCCCAGAGCGTCACACACGCCAGGCCACCGCTTCCAAATAGAGACAGGTCAGCCCTCTTGTCTCCCTTCCAATCTCCCAGCCCCAGATCACTTCATCCCTGGATCTCTTTCCTATTCATCAAAGCAGGATATTAAAGACAGAACAAACAAACAAAAAAAGAAAGAAAAGACCGGCGTGGTGTTCAACCTGTAAAATCCTAGCACTCTGGGAGCGAGGCGGGAGGATTGCTAGAGGTCAGGAGTTTGAAACCACCCTGAGCAAGAGCAAGACCTGTCTCTACTATAAATAGAAGAAATTCATTTTGGCCAACTAATATATATTAGAAAAATGAGCCGGGCATGGTGCCAATGCCTGTATCCCAGCTACTCGGGAGGCTGAGGCAAGAGGATCAACCTGAGCCCCCAGGAGTTTGAGGTTGCTGTGAGCTAGGCTGACGCCACGGCACTCACTCTAGCCTGGGCAACAAAGCGAGACTCTGTCTAAATAAATAAATATATATATATATACATATACAATAAAAAATAAAAACAACAAAGAAAAACCAAAGCAGGATATTCAATTTCCTCATACAGCCAGGACAAAACTGGCCTGATAAAAACTGGCCAAGAAAACTGGGATTTCTTAACTAGTTGTTGAAGAGTCCTCATGGCAGGAGTTAGAGCTCTGCCATGAAGATGGCATTTCCTTTTGGATACGTGCCTTAATTCTCATATCCTGTCACTTTGCAGCTTTGAAGGCCGATGGGAAAGATTTGGGGCGCTCCTATTTTCTTATGAATGTGAAGACCGGCTAGCTCCTCCTAGCACGAACCATGAAGAAAAAGAGCAAAAATAAAAGGCTGGGCCAAGAGTGCCACCTAGTGGCAAAAGCATGCTTGCATTCGTGTCTTCCAATGAAGCTACCGTGTTTCCTGAAAATAAGGCCTACCCATAAAATGAGCCCTAGCAGGATTTCTAAGCATTTATGCAATATGAGCCCTACCCCGAAAATAAGACCTAGTGATGGGCGTGGCTATGAAGCGCATCTGCACAACCCATGCATTTCGTCAAGGAGCGGTAAGGAAGAGGAGCAGCCCTTCTCATCTGCCCCATCGTGACAGCTACTATCCCAGAGGTGACCGCAAAGTGCGGGCAGCCCCACCAACGAGGTCGGCTCCCTGTGTCAGGTCCCGGCCATCCTGTGCGTGCTGCAAGCTGAGGCTTTGAGGGGAAAATAACACATCCCCTGAAAATAAGCCCTAGAGTGTCTTCTTGAGGAAAAATAAACATTAGAACCTGTCTTATTTTCGGGGAAACATTGTAGTATGGAGAGCCTGTGGAATGTGTCCCTCACTTCATAGGGATTATTTTTGAGGTGCTTTGGAATCGGGGATTTAAAAGAGTTGGGCCCTGTCCTCAAAGAACCCACGATCCGATGGAAGGTATTGACATGTAAAAACAAATTAGAATCAAGTGTGATAGCTGCTAGGATAGAGGCAACGTGGAGTATCTTGGAAACAGGGGACACCTTGTGGTGGAGTCGGGAAAGTGTACAGAGGTGCTGAGCCTACGAGTAAGTGGGAATTATGTCCACACTCAGCTTAGCTAGGCCTAGGCCAGTTACACCAGGAGAGAAACCACGGGGGTTGAACTTGGCACAAACCGTCCACTGACTCTTCTTTTCTTGTGATGCGCTCCTTGGTTGAAGGTTGTGCAGTCCAATACAATAGACGCTGGCATGTGGTTATTGAGCACTTGAAGCAAAGCTCATCCAAATTG